TAGTTTTACCTTCAAATTCTGTGAGGCAGCTAAGGGGAATGGCAACAGCCTACCGTGTTTTGGGAGTCTGGTTGTTCCCTTGATCAACAACTCTAAGGGAGCTGTCTCTTGCTTGACACAGGTTTTTTTTTTTCCCCACATAGCCTATGGTTCCTAGAGCCGAGGAAGGGGTGTGTGAACACTATCACTGCATGTGAGGTAACTCTATTTAACACATATGTGTATATGAAAATATATTATATGTAAAATATAAACGTACATGTGCTTTTAGCAAACTTAAAAATAATTAAAATAATGTTTCCTCATGGGCCTTTCAAATATCCTTAGTGTGATTTATCTCGCCTTCTTCCCTCTTCGTCTATATTACCCTCCTCCTCCCTTTGCCAGTTGAGTTTCCTCTATTTTCCCCCTTTCCCAATTCACAGCATCTGTGTCTTAATAAATATCCTCTTCTACAGTTCCTTCTCCTTCTTCCTCACTGACCTTGTTCTTTTTCCTGATTTATTCCCTTACTCTACTTTATACATGCAAACCTAAAGATTGGATTCTCATTTCTTAAACATGTTACGGGCATAGGTTTTTAATTTGCCTGCAGGTGAATACTGTATCACATAAACTTCTATTAAATACCATTAAGACATTTGCTGACATCATAAAATATTCTCATAGCCATTACAGTCAATGAGATTGCAAATATGTATTGACTACCTGTGGAAAGGCAAGTGTTGGGCTAATTTTTGGTGATCTAAATAGGGACAGAATCTCAAAAGCATAATTCAGGTACTTTGAACTATTTGAGATATATATATACACATGTATATATACATATATATGTGTCTATCTGTCTATATCTATATCTATATATATAGGAGAGAGGCATGGTCAGCATTGGCGAAATTTGATGCTACCCAATAATTTGGGAAAGCGGCTTAATTGAAGCCACTCTTGCAATGAATATTACTCAACAAAGAAAAGACAGAACATTCCAATGGGAAGGTTTGAGATAGTTTCACATGTGTTAAAGAGCGCATCACATAAATGGTACTACAGAAAGCAGTTCTGTATGAAAGAAAATGCACAAACCATGAATGCAGAGACCAAATAAGGGGGAAGAAGCAAGGGAAACTTTGTGCATCATGCTGAAGATTTATACTTTATATAGATATTAAAAATCCTTAAAGTAGTACAATTGCATGGCCAAAGTTGCAGTTTTAATATATTTTAAAATTAATATCATTTTTTTGAAGAAAAGGAAAATCTAGATTAAAGAAAGGAGATATTATAGTAATTGAGATTGAAAATAGATATTATAGTAGCCTAGAAGGGAGATTATGGGAGCCCAATAGGTCTCTACTAGAAATGGAGATAGAGGTTGAATTTGAGACCCTGTTTAGATGGTGGAAGAGGCCAGCAGTAGTTGCGGACTAAAGCAGACTTATAACTAGTCTACAGGTTTCTGTTGCTACCCATGGCTATTTGGTGGATGGTATTGCCATGGCTGAATACAAGAAGCCTTTTTATTTTTACTACTGTCATGAACCAAAGACCTCACAGATGTAGGCTTTACCTCTGTGCTACCCATTGCCAGGAAGAGAAATAAATTTGAATGGAGGGGAGGAGTAGATGATGGGTTAACTTTGATCTATTACATCTGAGGTGTCTGAAAATTTCAGGTACATTTTTTTCTAGCATGTTTGAGGACTCACAAATCTTAAACCTAGTGGAGAAGTGAGGACTGGAGATTTGTATCCAGAAATCATCATTTTAATGTTATTTAAAACCAGGAAAACATATGAGAATGTCCAATTAAAGTAAATGTGGCTTGGTGGTGGTGGTGCACGCCTTTAATCCCAGCACTAGGGAGGCAGAGGCAGGCGGATCTCTGTGAGTTCGAGGCCAGCCTGGTCTACAATAGCTAGTTCCAGGACAGGCTCCAAAGCTACAGAGAAACCCTGTCTCGCAAAAACAACAACAACAAAACAACAACAAAAAAAAGTGAACATCTTTAATGTTTACTTTTCAAATAGACCTTTGGGTTCTTCTTTGCTGCATTGTTATTTAGTTCTAGTTTTACCTGCTACAGGGTGTCATGGACTAGGCAGAATGCCACCATTCTGCTTTTGTCAGAAAGCGAGAAATTCTGTGACAGTAAACCAGTCTGACCATAGTTTCAAATGTTCTGTTCTTGCCGTCATGTCTGTGGACTTAGCCAACCTTGAATAAGCTTCTCGAGTGTCGTATATGTGAAAGCATTCTCACGCAACCCGCTAACAGTAGTATATCTTCAGGAACATGAGCATGGCCCTAGGCAAAAGGTCTTTAGGACTTGTCTCTATCTATTGCTAGTGATGATGGTGAGCTTGTTGGCTAGAAGACGTGTCAAATTATCACCTTATGAGTCTGGAAGACAGAAATCTGACATCAGGTTAAACGGGCTAACATCGAGAACATCCTGTTCTTCCTCAGGAGGTGGTTAAGGAAAGCTGCCCCCTTGCTGCTTTTTATTGGGCAGAATCTGCCTTTCTCAGGGCTGTCTTTCTTCACCTTCAGAGCATACAGAGAGCAGAGTCCCACCTTTCCTTCTGATTTCGGCTCTCCTTACCCCCACCTCTGGTGAGGACCTTGTCATTACAAAGAGTCAAAGGAGCGCAGGGTGATAATCTTTCTGCCTCAAGGTTTCTAGTTGAGTCTTATCTGCAAAGTTCCCTCTCCCACAGAAGGCAGCACTGACTGGTGCCGAGGAGTAGGACTGGACATCTTTTCATGTATTATTCAATCAACACACTGCGATTGCAGAAGGAGTACAGCTGATTAGCTCTGAGTTGTTTACTGCTTAGATTCTGCACATATAATTTATTCGTATGGTAGATATTAATCTTTTAAAAGTCAAATAAACACAAGTGTATAAACAACAACAAAAATACTATCACGTTTCCTTATAAAATGTTTCTTTAAAGTGACTGTAAGAATATATATAATGTAAATTATATATTATATGCATATATAACATAATACAATGTAAATTCAGAAGCCAGTCAATGAACTTACCCTTTATAAAAACAATCTCAATATCTAATTCTCCTTCTTTGGAACTCTGATTTTTTTTTTTTGATGAATTATCTATTTTTAATCCCATGTGTGTCTCAGAGACTGGCAAGTCCGTGGACCTGCCTTAGACTGTGGACAGTGAGCCCTCATCTGTGTTTTCTTCCCTTATGAAACACCCAGGCAGTTAGTACCTGTATGACCCTGGCTGCTCAGATGTTCAAGCCAATGATGCTAAAGTCTCAGTTCAGCAGTAGGAGAGCAGGATAACCCATTGGGTTATCTCTCTTTTTGACTTTGTAATAATAATAATAATAATAATAATAATAATAATAAAACCCTAAACTATCTCCAGATTTCCTGATTCCTCCCCTATGAGCATTGTCCCAGCTCCTGCTTACTAACAATACTGTTTGCAGCCCATTCTCCAATTCTGGAAGTTTGCATTATCTTCCCAATGAACAACTTTTACTTACATTCGTCGTATTTGGCTTCTATCACAGTCAGAAAAGCCTCACAAAAGCAGGATTGTACAGATATTATTATTCTCCTATAAGAAGCTTGGTTTCTGCAAACTCTCTCTACCACTGAGCTATATAGAATATGCTGTTTGAAAAAAACTATTTTCAATAAAAAAGAAAGAATTTTGATTTCAAGCAAAAATTTTTCTTTACTAAAGTTATCTAATTTATGTTAGAACTTAACAATTATGAAAATTTTCTTAAATATTTGGCATCATTTTAAAAAATATGCATGGATTCAACATATTTAGAAGCCTGTGCAAGCCCTGTAGTTGCCCTTTCCAAATTATTAAGAGAATTTCCATAAGGCCTCTTCAAGGAGCCAGATCTGAAGGGCCAGCATCCCCACATGGTCATTCTTGAGTCTGCTGCGGCTCTGTTAGAATGCTCAGAGTTTACCTCTATTTAGTAGCTTAGTTATTTTTTTCTCTCTTTAATGGAAAATCACTTAGTGAAATTGTGGAGATTATTTATCTGAGTCATATTTTTATGGAAACTGCTTTTCACTTCTATGCATTTTAGAAGTGTTTTCTTTAAAAAGAATATTCTATTAATATTTATAATTAGATAGCACACAAAACAGATGCTAAATCTTATGTTATAACTTTCTGGGTACAATTACATAAAGAAGATTATATACTTTTCATCAGAATGTTCTCCCCGGGAGCTGAAGAACAAAAGGGCTTTCTCTGTGAACATGACATTTCTTTTCGCGGGCGGAAGTAAACAGGAAGATGATGATTAACCACAATTAACCATTTTAGCATGCTAGTGTTGATCCTGAGTGCCATACTTAATGCCTAGTGTAGTATTGAGTAGAACAGCAACGTGGTGCGTTTTTAAGTGATTGACTTGGTCTTTTATTTCTTCTCAGTTAACTTGTTTACACGGTTATTCTGGTCCTTTTGTGATGTTGGTGGGTTCACCCTACCTTCAGAGCTATTCTAGGAAAGGGTAGAGGATAGAGGTTTTGCTGATGTCAGAGGACAGAAGGAAGAGATTGTCTTTTCTTTAATTAAAACAGAACGAATGAAAAACGTTATCATCTATCTAATCCATATAACCTGCCCAAGAGCTCTTGATGTAAAGACAAGAAACCGAGTCGCCAAGGAAGAACAGTTTTGAGTGTTCGTGTCAGATCTGAAGTCCTCTGTGATGTGTGAGTCCGAGCCTTTCTACTTAATGTGTCTCTTCTTAAGTGGTTACTTCTTCAAGAGATCCTAGGGTGGGCTTCGAGGATGGAGAGGAGAGCTTTCCAATAACCCTTTGCCCATAGACAGGGTCTCCGGGATGGACCGACGCTCTGCTTTCTGTACTTAGAATAGCAAGCAGAGAAAAGGAGCAAGCGCCGGGCAGAGGGGAGCGGAAGTTTACTTCCCCACCCCCCACCCCGCGAGACGCTGCGCAAGGGTAGGGATAGGTCACGCCCACTAGCGGGTGGCCGCCTCTGGGCTCCAGGCTGAGCTGCTCGAGTCCGCTCTGAGGAAGGCGCGGACGCACTTGCCACGGGAGGCAGAGCGAGCGAGCGAGCGAGCGAGAGAGCGAGCGCGCACCCTCCGGGAGCCGCCTGCGCCTCCCCGCGGCCCGGGACGCACGTGCCTGGGCCAGGGCCAAGGCCAGTGGCCACTCCGTAGTAGCCGGGGCGGGTGGGGAGCGACTGGCTCCGGGCCGCGGCCGTCGCCCGCCCGCCGGCTCCGGTGGTTGGGCGGAGGAAGCGCGGGACTCCTCCTCCCCGCCGTATTAACATGCACCCAGGGGCGGGTGACCAGCCCAGCCTCGCCGCCCCTGCCCGCCGCTGCGTCCCGGCGCTCAGTCTCCGCGCCAGAGGCGAACCTTGCGCTCTGGGCGCCGCAATCGAGAGGACACGGCCTCGCAGACACCTTCCTCCGGCGGGGAGCGGCAGGAACGGCAGCGCCTGGCTGGGCGCCTTCCCATCACCTCGCTGAGGGACGTCCCGCGCCGCGGGACCACCGTTCTGGCCCGAGCTCCGAGGTTCGTAGAACGGACGGACAGACGGACAGACCCCACCAGCGAGTTCCGGACTGGAACTGCGGGCAGCGGCAAGGTAACGCCGGGCTGCACAGCGGGGCTGGGGCGTGCGCGGCGGCGGTGTCGGCGGCAGCGGCGGCAGTGGCGGTGGCGCTGGGTGGCTCCTGGCTCCGGCTCACCTCCCGCTGCGAGGTCGCGGTTGCCCGCGCATCCTTAGGGACTGCGGGCTGCCTCTGCTGGCCATTGGCCGGCACTCTGAATTCCCTGACTTCTGCCCAGGGGGCACGTCTGGTCCTAGTGGTGACCTAGGGATCCCCGCGGCCAGTGTCCCCCTTCCCCGGGCATAGGATTCTCAAAGCTCCCTGGGGTGTTCGAGAAGGAATAGCTTTTTAACTGAGACTGGGTCCCCGGAGGGGGAGGGGAGGGGATAAGAACCCGGGTCCTATGTTTCTAATGTCTCCATCCAAATTCACACCCGGGGTTCAGCACCTTGCAGGCGAAGGCTGCTGCTGCTGCTGCTCACTGCAGGAGACTTCACCATGAGCTCCTGAGTCGTTTGCAAAGCAAGTTGTTGCACTCTTTTTGTGTGTGACATTTTTGGCATTGGCTGTGAAGAGCGACCCCTTCCCCGTGTGTGGAATAGGGAAAAAAGACAGAGAGACACAAAGACAGTGTCACGGAGAAACGCACACAGAGGATAGGGTCCCGGGGTAGGGGTGTCACTGGAGTGTCTCTGAGGCCAACTGCCCGCGAATCGCACCGCAGGCGGTTAGAGCCTGTATTCAAGGGACCGAATGAGTGGCGCTGGAGTCGGAATCGGGAGAGGAGCGAGAGCACCTCTTCTTGCTCCAGGCTGGGCCAGATAACAAATTGTACTTTCATGGAGGGGTGGCTGCAACTGCGGGAGGGACCTTAATGGTTCCGCGTGGCGATGAAGACCTAGCATTCAGGACCCGGGGAAGGCGAGCAGTTCCCATCTTCATGTTGTCTCCGAGGTCATGGGAAGGGGCGAATGCAGCCTGAGTGCCCGCTCCAGAGACGCTCAGTTCCAGTGCCAGGCGGGCGCCGTGCTGGCCCTGGATGTCTCCTCACCCCTTGCCTGGTCTGGAACGCTGCGGATTTTTTTTTTTTTCTGTCTGAGAACGGGAGGGCATATGGACGGGAAGGGGTTGCAGGTGGCAAAGCTAGGAAGACCTGCTCTCTGTGGGGGATAAGAGGTTATGTCTTTTATGGACCGAGGGGAGATGTCTCACTCCTCTCTAGGAGAGACGTGGGGAGAAATTGTTTCTGAGCTCTGCCAGGCTGGGGATCGATCACGCCTCTTGGCCTAGCAAGTGAAGTTACAACAGAATCTCAAGATGGATAATAAAAGTCACACATTACAGACAGATCTTTATCTTTTGTGGTCTTCACGAATGACTTCTTAGAAGACAGTCATTCTAGCGGGGATGAGGGGAGGGCTTAGAATTTAGAACTCAGGAAAGACATTTAGGGCCTAACGCAAAGGTCTTGCTCACCTCCCCCCTCTCAGTTTTTTTGTTTGTCTGTTTCTGTTTGTTTTAAATCAGAAAGGAGGTACCATAACGAACAGTTCTTTTAAACAGTAATTTACATCACAATTTCAGTTTCGGGGAGCAACTCGCTGATTGGTTCTAATCATTTTGTGTAGATTACAATACTGTTTATTCCAAGTTAGATGGAGATCATGTGCAGGCAAGGAATGGTGCAACTCTTCTGGTTTGTACAAGCCCAGAGGAAAGTTGTCTTTATGTTGCTTAACAGGAAATCTTAAAGTTGCTGAGACCATTGCTTTAAGATATTCATTCCAAGTTCTAGGTCTAAAATTCTGTTAATTTTTTTTTTTAAACTAAGTGACCTGCTTTAGAGAAAATGTAACTTCGCATGAGAAAACACTTGCAGATGTAGGCTAAGTTTAAAAACTACATCTGCATCTCTTTCTGTTATCATAAGTTTTGCTGTTAAATTAAATACGGACAACATAGGGTGGGGGTGGGAAATGGATATGACCAAGATACATTGTATATTTGTAGAAATTTTCCAAAAAAAAAAAAAACAACAACTAGTTAACAGACATTTTAAAAGATGCACTTTTTCGACAAAGCTTTTCAAATCGTATTCCAGTCCCTGTGCTGAGGGGGAATGGCACACACATAAGCTTTCCCTGTGGGGACCGTGATGGTTCAGCACCTCTCATTTCTCCCTCCAGATTCATTTTATTCCACAGGACTGAAAACACGATGAATCACACGAGCAATTATTCAAAGCGAGTAGAAAGAGGACCTCAAAATATTGCACAAGAAATACCACAAACCTACATCTTCTGCTTTCCAAATTCTGATGTTTTAAATTTCTTACTAAATCCAGACTTAGGGACAGGAACTGTATGCGCTTAGACTTGTTAAGTGCATACCTTTGTTCCAAACAGCCATCAAGACTGATGTTTCATATAAAATTAACAGCCCTGAGATGGGAGCTTGTTTGATTAATGGCGCAGAGACAGCAGACCATCACTCTGGCTTCGGTGCAGTAGAGGCAAGCGCCATCATTTCTTTCTTTCCTTTTTTTTTTCTTCTTCAGGAAACTCTTGTGAAAATAGAGTTCACTCTTTTCATTCACCATAACACTTTCTAGTTGAGCAGAAGTGAGTGAAATGCTGCTCATTGAACATTCCTATAATGAAATTGGTGTAATCAACCCAAACTCATTGTTTTCCTTTGGTATCATTCTCACCAATTGTTTTCACCTTCAGCAGAGGGCAAATAATTAGTTTCTATTTTGGAGGCTTCCAATTGGAGGAGTCTGTGAAGATTTGCCGCACTGCTGGGCTGCCTGGATGCTGAGACTGGCGGGGGTGCCAGGATTGAGACATGGAGGTGGCTTTTCAGGTGGAAGAACAGCAACCTACCTTTGTTTTGTCCCAAGCTAAAGCCTTTTATACCTCTGCTGCTTCTGAGGAAAACCACTGGCCAGAAAGAACACAAACATCCTTGTCAATTACAGACCACAAGGAAGTTCCGCTATTGGTCAGGGGGAGTGAGGGCAGCTGGATCACAACAAAGATTCCTTTTCTTTAGAAACTGACTTTTGTCGTGAATTCTTTTATTTCTTTTCTCTCTGCATTGATATGTTGGTTTTCCCTTAGAATTTACCTTAAAGCAAGAAGGCTAGTTAGGGTCTTGAAAAACTCAATACAGACCTCCCATCATTCTAATTCATGCCTATTACATGTTGTCTGTTGTGTACTTAAAAATGTAATGCAAGGACACCCACAACTTTTGCAAAGGACTATAGTTAGTTCCCAGCACCCACCCATATGGGACAGCTCTCAACTGTTTCTAATTCCAAATTTATGAACTTTAGTGCCCTCTTCTGGACTCTTCTGGTCTCTGCCCCCAAGTGCACATACACACATATCCACAATTAAAAACATAAATCTTTTTAAAATCAGATGACCGTTATCTTACGAAGGCCTTTTGCCAGCATTCCAGAAAATTTTGGTGCTGCTGAGAACATTGGTGGACTGTCTCTATTCCCAGAAAACTCCTAAGTGCTTCCAGGTCTATGTTTTCAAAGAAAGGAATCATCATAGTGCCCCTGAAGATGTCCTTCATTATTTTAAATCATGGGAGATGTTGCAGTCTGATTATTTTTCAATGCTGGTGAAGGTTTCTTTTACTAGATTTGGTCCTGGTCAGGAGTAGCCCAAGATTTGTTTCTAGGAGGAGGACCTGAGACATTCTCCACAAAAGAAGGTTTATGACCAGCCATCTACCATCCTCTTTAACAGACATGGAGGGCTGATGGCAGTGAATGCGAATACCAGAACCTTTTCTTCAACTCATATCTATTTAGTTCCATAATCTATATTAACAGCTTCCTTCTCTGCAACCGTGCGATGTACGAACCTACACACAAATGGGATTAAGAGGAAGAGCAACAAAAATGGATGTGTAGGTCAGGCAGTTTGGACAGCGAGTGACCTTCCTTTGAGGTCCACTGCTCCTTGGGTGATTTTCATGAGGCTGGTCTTGCACAGAAATGCTGACTCAACGGTTTCCCAGCCTTCATTGTAGTAGGTGCTGGGGCTGAGTCTGCATCCTTAAATGCCTTAAGATTTCCCTGACTGATATTTATCATTTTCTTCCTCTGAGAGAAGTTAATAACTTCGGGGAAAGACGTTAACCAGGTGAGGAAAACCCGTGCTCACAGGACGCTCTGCCTGATACCTACCTTGTTAACCGGGGTGGCTGGGATGTGACTGAGTATTTTGCAGTTGGTTACAAACTACATAGCCATGCCCTGAATACACAAGGAAAATGTAAACGCACCCTCCTCCCTCTTCCTAGAATTTGCCAGAAATGAAACCATTTATTTTCATATTCACTTCTAACTCTCATCTGTCGTCACTGACAATTTGTCTGTCTTCTCAGTGTTCCTTGTCAGCTCCGTGAGCAGCTACACAAAGCCAGGCTGTCAAGTGTGTCTTGCGGAGCGGCCCAACTTTGCCAAGTTTCCTCAGTATTCAACAGCGCAATGTGCGTGTGGACGCCATGGCTAAGCAGTTGGCGAGAGAGGCGTTGTGCTACGGTTGCCTTATCTCCCTGACCTTGAGTCAGAATCTCTCGGCACCCACGGTTCAGAGACATTTAAAGGGCTCGCTCAGGCAGCTTGTGGGAAGGTCTCCCTGGGCACATTGCCAACTCTGCTGCCTTACTCTGTGGCTTGGGTTAAGCTAATTTGAAAACATCTACTGGAGTAACTTTCCTGTTAACTCTACCTCTGGCAAATGCACCTGAGTTCATGGTAGGCAGATTAGCATTAACCCCCTCCGACCTGAGGGTTAGGGCCCTCTCCCTGGAGACCCTTTCTGTCTTGATTTTAATTCACAGTGGGAACTCACTGTGAAATCTATTTCAGAACTAGGAATTTTCCTGCTACATTTCTTTACAGAAACACACGCTGCAGTTTGTGAGGAACATGACGCTTTGGTCCTGTCTCGGACTCTGCAGACAGCCCTTCTTAGATGCGCTTCATCACATTGGGAACGAGGAAGAA